CATTTGGATTCTGTAAGTTTTGTTATTTTGCTTTCGCCTTTGGATATTTTATCCATTCATATTGTAAATTGAGCCCCCATGCCTCAAAGTACTTTGGGTTTGAATAAAGGAAAACATTTCAATCCCACATACTAACATGATGATGACAGAGCTCTCTGTGATACCAAATACACAGCTGAGAATACGGTTAGTTTTGTTTGCTTAAAAGTGCAGCTGTTTAATCAAGTAACTTATATTTCTGACTGTTTTTCAAGTTCAAGTCTTTGGTGGCTTGTGGGAAAGCCGGAAGGTTTTGACAATTCCTGAAAAACATATTGTTACTTTTAGACTTTTCTTAAACCTGCTGATACTGACAAACAGTAGTTGACTGCCTTGTTTCTTATCCTGTTTTTGTACCTTTTTACTGCCTCTCATAAGAAGGGAACAAACTAGGATAATTTATTGTCATTTCCTCAGATGATCACAGTAGGGGACGGGACTGTCAGGTTCCACTCCTGGCCCCAGAAATACTCAGGCCTCAGCAAAAGGTTAAATACTTTAACATAAAGCTCTTTTTGTTTTTCCGTGGGAAGGAATAAATGTTCTGCTTCCTCTCTGTTTCTGCGTCAAACTCCCGGACACTTTTATACGTTTGAAGGTTGTTTTTTTTCCACCTACTTTGTTCTCAAATGTGGTTTTGCTGGTGGTCATAAATCCTCCCGCAATCAGTAATATAGAATTACCCGGACCACACATACAGCAGCGTGTGTCATGCACTGTACCGTACATAATAATGTGTGATCCAACAGAAACGTATTTGATCATTGATAAAACCATAAGCAGTCAGGCTGGGCTGATGGATGAGTCTCCTTGCAGAAAGTGCAGGCACGTGAAGTGTTGTGAGGATGACCTGGCTGATGTCTAAGAGAGGGGGGGAGATAAAACTCCACATAAATCAGCTCAGCGGGGGGTTAACAGCAAGCTCCCACAAATCATATCAGGAATCTTAGCTTGTCCCGATCACGGGGAGGAATTCTGGGACGGCTGCCAGTAAGTAGCCGCAGTCTCACTGTTACCATTTAGCCACCGCTTCCAGTTTCCATTCTTATTTGCGTTTCTTTCTTTAATTGCCTCTGTTTCTTGTTAGCTTGCTCCTTGTTTCCCAAGGATTCAATACTAAAATGGAACATAAAAAATTTGAATAGAATAAAATCGAGGGAGACTTTACTGAATGTTTGATGAGGATACTTAGTCGGATATCTAGATAATACACAAATGTTGTACATTTCCTTCGACAAACACACTAGTGGATTTAAAATAAATCCTTTAACATATGACCGAGCTGCAGACTATAAACTTTAACTGAAAGATAACAAAAAAAGTAAGTGGAGGACTGATAAGCAGCTTTATGGACTTTTTCAGATGCCTCCCTGTTTCTTAGTTTTAAAAAAAACAATGGTCTGGAGTTCTTTCCATTTGCTGTATTTATTGGAATTTTGCAATACCGGGGTGTTGCAAAAATCAGCATTTTTAATAATGCTTCAACCAGCCATTGACTGAAAATGATTAACAACCAAATCTAAAGAATAATACTTGAAATAGTGTTTTAGAATTTGTAAAAGCTGAAGCCATCCTATAAGAAAAATTCTTGTTCCCTTTTGTTTTAGAGGATGAGTGTGAGGATGGGGAAGTAAACTGGCTCAAAGCAGCATACCATCACAAAAGGCCACCAATGAGGCCCTGGACGTCACAACATAATCCACACCAGACCTTTAATTAAAGCCGAAAGCTCGCTCACCTCATCTCGCCTGCTTTATTTCAAATCCATTCTGGTGGAGATCTGTCACTGTCAAGTTTTTCGGCCTCTACAAACCACCTTAGCTTCTGCCCAAACTTGACAAGGGCTTGCTCCCATCAAAGAAATCCAGGACCAACTCTTCTCAGTGTCATCTTTCCATTTATTTCTCTTTTTCCTTTTTTTTCTTTAAATCACTGTACTTTCCAATACATGACACCCAAGCAGGTTGAAAACCTACAAACAAACAAATCACAAATTACTTTTAAGTCATCAAACAAAATAAACAAAATAAACTACTTTCACAAATCCATTTTTGTAAACCCAGCTAAGTCCTCCGAATACAGGTTTAAAGTTCAGTTCCTACCAGTGGTATTTCTGCTGGAGCTTGAAGATGAGGTCTTTGTTTGTAGAGATTCCTTCCACACAGGTGTGCTGAGTAGACTTATAGGCTCTTGAAGGCCTGAGTGAGAGACGGGTGTGCTTGATTTTCTGTAGGCCACGTGCCAGCTGGGTGGAGATGGTATTGCACTCACACAAATGCACCAATTGCTGTTTTAACTTGACAGTCACCGTCCAAATACTTATGTGCTTGACTGTACAAGCGATAAGGAACATGGATGTAAGAACATCATCACAAACAGATGTTATTTGTACAAGGCTGAGGTGTAAATCAAACCTGGGCCATATTTCTACCAAAGAGGCAGCGTCTGTTTTTGAGCAAGAAGAAGCAAAGGGGAGGAGAAGGAGGCACAAGAGCATGTAAGTGGAAAGATGAAAAGACCGGCGAAGGATGAGCATTAAAAACATTAGGAAGAGAGAATTACAGTGGCAGAGAACAAGGTCTTCTGGGGAGTGCTCGGAGAGCTCGGGGGAAAGAACAAAGGGAGGGCCCGAGGTTTATTGAAGGTCTCTGCAGATAGGGTTCTGGATGAGTGTCCGACACACGATCGTAAATCCCAAACCCCATATTCTGTAAGATGGGGCCAGGGTCAAAGACGGGGGGAGTGGGTGGTGGGCATAAAGGGAAAGACTGTGGAGAGGTGGGAGGTAAATGATGATACAGAAAAAGCAGTCTGAAACAAAAAAGCCCATCTTAAGGTTTGGGCTCTGAATCACTGGAACCAGATGTGAGTCAGATGTTTCTCCTCCGAGGTGCTTTTAAAAAAACTGTACTGAGTGCTGCCTGCTCACGGAGGTGGGACAAAACCTGCCATCATAGCAAATGGCACCCAGGTCAGAGTCATGACACATCAATTAAAGTAATGTTCTATGCAGGTTGTCGCCATCACCCGGGGCCACTCGGCAGACATTCTTTACATTAGGTCTCTCGTTGATGCACATACGGCTCCGATGAGTCACCGGGGCTCGTAAAGAGGCTTCCGAAAAGGGGAATGACGTGAAACATCATGTCCGCTCATGTGGGGTAAACTCATGCCGAAGCCTAATGATGTGGCGGTGGGCTTGGGAGGAGGGCCATTTTTCCTGCAGTGCAACGCCTCTTTGACACGGAAACGTCACCGCTGAGGTATGAGAACGTTTTCAGAGATGCTGTGTTGCAAAACCACACACAACAGGTTGTGAAAGACGTGCAAAAACAACTTTAGAACACAAACTTTATCTGATTCATTGTGTGGAATTTGGAGATATTATCCATTCGGTGCATCGTTCCATACAAATATTCCTACGCTTTAAAGAGCAAACTGTAAATAGTTGTGTCAGGATCCTAATTTGTGCTCCATCAGTGATGGTCAAAGTGGTTTCCCAACTTTAATGTCAGCTGGGCCCTTTCTAAGTGCAGCTTGTATGTTCTCCTCATGTAAATGCGGGTTCTCATCAGAAGCTACAAGCTGAATCGGAGGCTAATTTGAGCTGTGACAAACTGTGAAGTCGACCTGATCTACTGACTTCCAGCCGGTCGACTCGTTTCGGTTATTCTCCCCAAACGGACCCTGAGAACAGCAGCAAGTTGAACCTGCAGTCCTAAATCTAACCACACAATGGCAGCGTTGGCTCCTCCTATGTGGAGTAGTTCCTTCTGTTTTAGCGGTGCTAAACATCTTACACATCTTGGGTTTTGGGGAGTCATACAGTCACATGGGAGCTGTCCAATCCATCAGTCAAATAGACATTTCAGCAATTTAGGGATATTTGGGGAAACGGAGCAGTTATTGTTTGAATGTAATTTAATGGATGAAACAATACCCAGTTTAAAACATGTCTCTATCTTCAAGATCATGGTAGATTTGAATAATGAATTAGAATTAAGAATAACTATTACATTCAAGTTGAGTACGTGATAGTTTCTTTTAATTGAATACACATTTTAATATCATTATTTTAGAATGTTTATTGGTTTCAATAACTGGAAGATTAATCTAAGCAGACAAGGAGGGTTCGGATTTGACTTGTTTATTTATTTGCAATAGCCATGGTAATCCTATAAAGTTTGGGGATTTTACACATTTAACACTTTTTTTTGTCCCAGTCTGTTTCTAGTCAGAGTGATATCTTCACGACTCTATTTACTTTTAGAGTTGCCCATCAGCTTTTCTCTTTGTGTCCTCAATTTTTTTGAGAACAAACCATATTTGTCATACAAATCAACTGCATCGTGATGATTCAGGAGATTTTAAAGATGAAATATTTGGCTTTTAAGCAGCAAATCTGATTGGAGCAAGGACTAATAAAATATATTTAAGGAACTGACAGTAGTGCTGCCGTAAGTTAATGGTTTAAACATGAATTTGAACTTGATAAAGAGAACTGAAATATAGAGAAAGCTTTCATTGTTCAACTAACATTTTAGTGTTCAGAGAGATAAAACTTTAAAAGCATCATCACACGTCACTCGTGGGGCTTCCATACATCTAGTAGATTTGTTACTAATGATGGCGCCCAAAATAATTAGTACATCCTGGAGGCATTCCACGATACAATAATCCTATTTGTGGTGTCTCATGATAATGAGATTTGGTATTTGCGCTGACCGAACACTAGTCTTTGTCTAGTCTTTGTCTTCTCATCTCAAACAAAACATTCAGCAGTCCAATTAGTACATACACACCTTTTAAACATATGAACCTGAGCTAGATGATTAGTAGATAATTCATTAATTAGCTCTGTTTAAATCAGGCTGGATTGCATGTGCATCACACAAATTCTGGTGACGTGTGTTCTTGGGAGTCTTAAATAATAGCCGGCTGCCGTAATTATGAGACAGGGCATGCTTTCCTGGGAGAAGTTGTCAAACATAACTGTCAGCATGTTAGTGGTGCTCCTCGTGCTGGGGGGTCTCGGAGCGACAGCAGCCTCGGACCTCCATGTCTTTGGGAAATCTGTGTACAGAGACGACTCTTTGCAGAGCAGCAAAGACGGCAGACATGTTTTGAGGAAACTGCCATACCAACAGGTAAGAGTTGCTTAAACTCATCTTCTTTTTCGCCTTTCAGCTGGATCTTTTACTCTTTCAAAGGGCTGAAACAGGCTAGGATATTATCAGTATAAGTAAACATTTTTTCAAATTATGATCTGTCTCTTAAGTATATCATGCTTCTAATTCTCATGCAATATTCACAGCTCTGTGAAATAATACACAATTTATAACATTTTCCAAGCTTTTACTGAAAAGCTAGATAAGTGATAATAGAAATGCATGCTTGCTACTGCCTTACCATTTTTATGTTCAGGTATTATACATCACACAGACATGCTATTGTGGCACATCCAAACCTTCAAAAGTTTTACCATAAAGTTACTTAAAAAGGTCCAGTCAGTTTTTCATACATGGCTATGGGTCTGTGTTCAAATGTGAACTCATTCAAATATTTTTTGTCAAATTTTTTGATAACCTAAGGTTATTAAAAAATTAAAGCTAAAGTTAAAGCTAAAGTTGTAGGCATCCATAGCACTATTATTATTATTGCTGTTATTATTATTTATAATAACATTTTTTTCTTTTAACCATACACTGAATTTTCATAATTATATTATTTGTATAAAACCCTGAATAAAAAAAGAGTTAACTCTCATATGGTTGCCAAAAACCAAGTTAAGAGGATTTAATGCATTCAGATTGTTAAACAAAAATAATTGGAATATTCTTTTCTTTTATTCTAAGTCTGTAGTAAACAAGACACACAAATCTGACTTTTTTACCACTTTCCAGCCAAAAAGTGGACTCCGCAGGAGCTTAGACTTGGAAAGCTACAACGTACACGTGAGGCCCACAACCAGCAGGATCAGCCTCCCCACCATCCTCAAGCTCTACCCGCCCACCGCCAAGCCCCTGCACATGCACGCCAACATGCCCATGCGCTTCGGCCGGGAGAGCAGCCCCAGTGACGACAAGGTGCCAAACTCGTCCCCAAACATGCCCCAGAGGTTCGGGCGGTCCTGGGAGCTGATCCAGATGTGTGCGGAGTGCCGTGGGGTCCGAGACGCTCCGAGCCCTGTGCTGCCTCAGAGATTCGGGAGGAACGCTCCTTACTGGAGCCTCCTTCGGACCCTGGCCAGTGAGCACCTGTTGAACACTGGTTTGCACTGGTAAAGTGACATCTCATTGTATAAATATCCTAAATACAATTTGTACTCTTTAGAGTTACTGGCAGAAAACACTAATAAATGTCTGGGCTTTTCTTATTCTCATCAAACCTGATTTGTCTATTGTTGTCCTACAGGAGTGAAGATTTTGATAATACGTCCAGCTCAGAAGAAGAGGGTGACATGGAACATAAATGAGGTCTTCTCAAGTGTTTTTCATGTAAATTTAATTGCTAAAGTTAAATGTTACATTCTGCCCTTTTGGATTCAGATGGGGTCTCTTTTAATAAAGTCACGTGTGGATGGAAGACACAATAAAAATGCTTCAAGCTTTCAAACAAAATTGAAGAAAAATAAAATACAGCTTCAAACAATAAATCCAACAAACTGGTGTCTTCTTATTTTCCAAAACTCACCTTTATCAAAAGATCACGCAGATTACCAGCATCCCCGTCGTCTGCTGTGAAAGACATCTTTCTGCTTCACAACTGACGTCACACAGATCTGTTGTCACAATTTTACAAAAACTAATGCATTATTCATCTAAAAACAAAAAAAATCTTCTCATTCCATCCATTTTTGTAACTTACTCCCTATTGGGGTTGCAGGGGGACTGGAGCCTATCCCAGTAGTCAATGAGCAATTGGCGGGGTCCCCCTGGAGAGTCCACCAGTCCATCACAGGGTCACACAGAGACACACAACCACTCACACTCACTCCCGAGGGCAGATTTGAATGTCCAATTCACCTAACATGCAGGTTGTTTGACGGTGGGATGAAACTGGAGAGAACCCAAAAAGTATCCAATCCAGCAAAGTCAAAAGAAATCCCAACTTTATGCTTTGATGAATATCTTAAAAGTTACAAAAAACTTTTTAGAGGCCATTTATGGAGAGAGTTCAACCTGGGTTCTGATCTCTGCTGATAGTGTTTGAACCAGGCAGAAGCTGAGAGGATTCAGCCTTCATACAAACTAACCACCAGAGGGAGATGTTACCATTTCTCAGGACTCTGAATTGGATTATGAAATATCTTATGGATGATCGGAAGCATGCGTGTTTTGTTGGACAGTAAATGACCCTGTCCTTCATTCAGGTTAAGATCAATCAAATCTCTCTGTATATATACAGTACATCTATATATATATATATATATATATGTATGTATGTGTGTGTGCGTTCGTGTGTTTTATTATTTCTTTAACTAATATCAAATATCTTCTGAACTTGTTTAATCTTTTCTTTTATGTTTCTTTTATTGCGTCAATGCCCTTTTCATGGCTTGTTTCCTACAAATGGCAAGGTTATTGTTTTGATTTGTATTATCAGAGTTAATAGGTCCCAGGAGAACAGACCTGGCATCCTTACAGTTTAAACTTCTTATGTAAGTCATTTAGCAAAAGAAAAATACTTAAAAGTCTTATCTGCTCTAACCTGATCACCATAAGATATATTCTCATCGGATCTAATACAATTATCAACTTAGACCTTAGTTTGAAGACATTTTATAGATTATTTAAGCTTTCCTTTTTTATTTATTGATGGGATATTCGTTTGTTTGTGTATTTATTGGTTTGTTTATGAAAAATGACGTGTCACCCATGTGTTTGGGTTCTGAAGCGGACTGTGACGTAGCAGGGACACCTCCACATTGTTCACGCGCCTCACCTGTGTGTGGAGGTGGGTGTGACCTACATTCAGCCGCTTATTCAACCCGGCTCAGCCACACCCCCGCTGAAATCCAGACCCAAACTCACACGCTCTGGGGCTCAAATCGTGATCCAATCTGATAGAAACTTCAGTTTAACAAACAAACAAAACCGGAAGGAGCCGTGCTTTGCTGAGGGAGACAACTTCTGCCCGGAGGTATCCGAACCAAAGAGTCTGACGGTGAGTTTTCCTCCGGCGGCTGCCCATTGGCTCATTCCTGTGGAAGCGATCTTTTCCTACATCTGTTTCGGAAACAATCAGCCCAGACGCGTACTTTTAATTTTCCATCACCAGACAACTCGTCTAAGTCTGTTAATGTTCTTTAAAATAGTGGGATCCATGTCCTGTGAATCCATGTTTCATCACTTAAGTGAGAGGATTCCGGAAGTTTTCATAACTTTGTGTAACTGGTATTTTTCCACTGTCCTTAAACGCCTCTCAGCTCTGATGTCACTGATTGTTTTGGTCTACTTCTCCCCCTCTCCCATCCCTTCCAGTGACCAGTCATGGGGGACATTAAGAAAGGGAAGAAGGTCTTTGTCCAGAAGTGTTCCCAGTGCCACTCTGTGGACGAGGGGGGGCGGCACAAGGTTGGGCCCAACCTGTGGGGGCTGTTTGGAAGGAAGACGGGGCAGGCGGAGGGCTACTCCTACACACAGGCCAACATAGAAAAAGGTACCGGATGTCGAAACAGGAATTTGTGAAGGAACTGTTCTTGGTTCAAAGTGACAATCAGGGATACAGTATACTGTGTTAATTGGAATTAAAACAGAGGATATGTTTTCTCTAATCTTTCTTTAATGTCAAGCAAAGCTGCTTTTACAGACCTTACACTACACCTAATCATTTAACATGTTGGAATTCAATCTCATGCTTATTTCGGTCTGTTTAGATGTTTCTATGTGATAGTTAATCTTTAACATGTTCCAAATGCCTAGTATTTCATTTTATTAATGTCTTTTTTTATCTACAAAAGCACCTTCACTGAAAAGAACTACACGTTTTTTCTGTATTGATCTCAGCTTATTTTTAAAAAATGAATTGTTATTGTTATATTATGTTCTATGGGTATTCACAGTGCATGTGTGTGTGTGGAGGGGAAGCTTACGGATGTTTTTTTGTACCTGAGTTTGGGGGCAGCAGGTCTGAACAAGCAGTAGTTTTCCTCACCGACGGTGCTGCAAAGCACAGCTATAAAAGCTGAACGTATGAGAATGCAAGAGGGGCACCCGGGAAAGCTAAAATGGAAAAATACCTGCCGCCTTTCTGTGCATTCCAATGTTTTTATTTTCTCATTCAGGTATCATATGGGATGAGGAAACGCTGAACGTCTACCTGACGAACCCAAAGAAGTACATTCCGGGTACCAAGATGATCTTCAGTGGGATCAGGAAGAAGAAGGAGAGAGCCGATATCATAGCATATTTAAAGGATGCCACTTCCTAATGTGCTGACGATGCAGACAGTTGTTAGATGTACTCCACTGTGCCTTGTACCTGTTTTAAATGAGAGTATATATTTCTATTGATGCTTTTGTTTTAAACTGCCTTGTATCTGCCGAGAGAGCTGTTTTTAATCAGGGTGTGAGTCAGCCTTCCTGCAGCTTGTGGATTTTCCAGAAAGTCCATATTTTTCCTGCCTTACGCACATGGGCCACACCCACTCTGTTTACTCATCGTGTTTACATTTACTTTCATTCTTAATTCAAAGTATTCATTGTACTTACTTTATGCATGTAGCAAAAGGGTCACATTTTTACTGAGAACTTTTTTACTCAACTTTTATAAGCATTAAGAGTTATATATGGTTTTTATTAACGTGAGATTGCACTTTAAATGGCGGTATGTGGGATTTCTTATGAATGCATTTCTTTACATTCATTTTTGTTTTACTTTGCATGAGGGAACTTAACTCAAATAGAATGATTGTTTCTATTAAAACTGATGGTGATTTGGGTAAAATGGGAATTTGTTTAAATAAACATGTACCACTACGGAGTAATTGTGACTTCTGAATAAAAGACAAGATTTATTTAATTTTTTAAATCCTAACTAACTATGGTATACATTTTTGTCCTATTTTCTTCAAAACGTCTTGATTTGTTTTCTTGGCAAAACTAGTATAGTTATAAATAAAGCATTCTTTGTTGTTTGTAGTTCATGGCATAATTGGAAGCATATGTACTGTGTTGCCTAACCCTTGACTCAAAACAGTTTTCAAAAATATTTTACTGAATATTGATAGCTTATCTAATAGAAATGGGTTAAAAATTGTACTTTACTACTTAAGCATTTCTTAAAACAGGGATAATGAGATTGAAGCCTCATAACGACACCACAGAGCTGGAAATGATCAGTTTATTTTTAAACTCTCTGTCTGTAAATAGTTCAAAACCAGAATATGAATTGAATAAGCGTGAGTGCATTACTTCAGGTCGGTCTTGGAATCTAAATCTATTTTCTGATAGATTTCTAGATTTTAGTACCTGATCCAGATCAAAACAGAATATTGTGGGTGACCTTTGGCAGTGGCTGGCCCAGAACACTTTATTTATCTGTATAAGCACCACGCAGACTGTATGCTCATCCATATCTTCACATAGGACAGATGTCCTCCTCAGTCTAACGTTTTTTCCATGCCATAGTTTGCAAACTATCAGAAAAAAAGTCAGTTACAAAACTGTTAATTTTATTTCTGCTATGCTTAGTAATGTCCAGCAGAGGGCGCCATTCTTCTGCCAACTGGTCTTCAGGTTGACATCCAGCAATCTCACGGGAACAAAATTGTGCTGGAGCAGTGGAAGCACGAGCAGGTCTACAAAGTCTTGACCACACGGGGGGCGGCCACATCCTCCCAGACGTCCATCCGGATTTTGTAACTCGCATTAAAGGTCTGACAAACTGCGACGCCACCGTGTTGGCTCCGCTCAGTGGCCTCTGCTGGGAATTCAGCTCTGGAAGAAAAAGAAAAAAAAGACTCTCCCCCTCCCCTCCGTCCACAATTGTGTTGTTATTGATCGCCATATAGAAAGAGGAGGGTCGATAAGTGGCTCCGATTTATTATCCTCCCAGACTGTGCGCCAAATGTCAGCGGAGGTACAGACTCCGGAGCCGCGCGCTGCGCATTTCCTTTAGATGCCCGCGCGTCCGCACGTGCGACCGAGACCAAGAGGAAGGTAAGGAAAAGCCTGTTCTTACTTTACTTTGAATATGGGTAAAAGAGGGGGGGGCATGGCGTACCGTTTCCAGTTAAAGGAAGATAAAATGGATAAACTGAAATCGTTTTTGCGCATGTTTGTATTGGAATTTTTTTTGCATGGCAGTCCCTGTTTTTATCATCCCTGCCCTGTGTGCATGTTAAGGTGCGGGAAAAAAGGGGTGTGTTGCACGGCTGGAATCACAGAGGTGGCTGCATCTGCCGCATTCTGGAGCCCCGAAACAAGTTCATCCCAATAAAAGGGACTGAGGGGCTTGAACTGAAGTAATAACATAATGGCATCCTCAATTTGGAGCGAGGGATGGTGAAGGCAGTCAGTGTCTGCATTAAAAGCCGGGGGACAGGAATAGAGTCAGTGTATGTGTATGTGTGTGTGTGTGTGTGTGTTTGTGTGTGTGTGTGTGACAGGTTGAGCTGAGTGTTTTTTAGGGAGGCGTAAAAAAAACGGCAGCATGGACCTGGCCAAAATCGCCGTGTCCTTCCACCTCCTCCTGTTCCCCGTGTGGGCCCTGGCCCAGCACCCTCAGGTGGACAGCCTCCTCTGGGCTCATTCAGGTGAGATAGAATTCACAGAGTCCTTCCGACTTTGGGTGGAAAGACAAAAAATGACATCCGTAGAGGCCACGCTTCCCTCTCTGTTTCCCCCCCTCCAGCCCTCAGGTTGCCCATCGAGCCCCTGAGGTTCGACCCCTGCTGTCTGATGTCGCCCCCCCCGCCGCCGCTCTTCCCCCCTCCGCCTCAGCTGTGGAAGCGGGGCAGCCCTGTAGGTCTGCGTAACACCCCCCACCCCCCTTCCCACCTGTGGTTTGTTTAGCTCTATTCAGGCCAGTGAATGAAACTCCATCCTGTTGATTTGTTTTTTTTCGCCGGAATGAAGGAGGGCGACGGCGTGTTGGCACCGAGCGTCGGGGCGGGAGAGGTGATGGAGAAACAAAAGCCTGAGACCCCCGGGTGCCCACCCGGACCCCCAGGACCTCCAGGGCTACCGGGACCACGCGGCCCAGAGGTGAGGCCTGGCTTCCCCATCGATTTACCACTAAATGTTATTCAGTACTGGGAGGCTAGAATCATTTAAAAGCTGCAGATAGAAATGAAAATATAGGGGAAAAAAATGAAATATCTGTATTGATTTTTTCTCAAAAGTACAACGCTCAGAATAGGACGTGAATTTGTGGCCTGTTTCAGGGTCATAGTGGATTGCCTGGCATAAGAGGGCCGAAAGGGGAGAAGGTATGAGCTTTCGGGAATTATGTCTCTAATTCAGTTCCCCGTTGAGGGATCTGCCCTCGTGTTCACCTCTACCTCCATTTGTCCTCCTCCAGGGAGAAATTGGACGTCCGGGGTCAAAGGTCAGCGGCTCCTCCCCTCCTCCGTGTGGGTTTTCTATCTCATGTGTCCTTGGGATGATGGAATCTGGATTTGCTTCCTGCCCTCCTGCCTCTCGTGTCCACCCCCCCC